TTGTAAATGGGTTTTTTGGGGGAAAAACCAAAAGGCCTTTAAGTTTTTTTTTTTTTTTTTTTTTTTTTTGCCAAAGTCCTTTTAATTTTTTTTTTTTTTTTTTCTGGAAGACACCAATATTCAGGCGAAAACATTTTAACAACCCATTTTAGACACAAGGAGTCAGATTTTACTGAAGGAAGATTTGATGTGAATTTATTTCCATTTGCTAAGATAATTAGGTTTTAATCATGAAAGCATTTTTTTTTTGTAGAATTAAACAACAGACTAATCAGTCAGTAATTTGATTTCCGTAAACTTTCCAAACTGAGATAATGGTTTGGCAATGAATTTTTTTTTCCACATCCTACCAATGATGGGGTTTGCCACCTGACAGATTATGATAGAAATGGATGCCTCTTATTTATCATATTAAAAACTAACATGACCAATTGGAATGTTTTGCAGTTAAATTTTTGTCTTCAGCTGTGGATCTTATTGAGGTTTTCTTAAGGGTTGGTTGAGTCAATTTGCAAGTTTTATTTTCCTGGTTCATATATGATTATGTTTAAAAATTTTGTGGTGTTTTGCTCTACAGTGTTCCTTCTTATTTACATGTCTTCATTGATGGTTGTTTTACATTTCACTGTCTTTTGTGATCATTTGGATCATTGTCTCAAAAGAATGAGAGAAAAGGCTCAGCTTGCATCTATATGAATAAACTGATTTGAATTTATGTGATTTTAGGCCAGACTTCCTAAAGCTTAGAGTGCAATGTGATCCACATATAATTTGAAATTCCAATAAATTGGTCACTTCACTTATTATTTTTTTCATTTAAGGAATGTTTTTAAGCACTTCTGTTCATTAGAATTTTTCATCTTTATTTTGTATTTTTTTTTACATTTCTGTAATGTAAAACAATCTCCTCACTCCTTATCTTGGACAAAACTCTATCCCACTAAATCTGCTCCTGAGCCCCATCAAAGTCACAAATTACAACGCCGTTCCTACCAGGACTTCACCGAGGTCCTTCCTGCACACATGAAGCCTCCCCACTGGCTGTAAAGAATTGGAGAAAACTCTGTCCTGAGGCTGCAGGAGGAGTCTACCTGCAAAGAGGAAAACGCATCACAAACAGCAGAATGCCATTAAAAATGAGTCGGGTAGCCTGCAAGCATCAATCAGTGCTCAGAGATAAGACTCAGTGGCAGCCTCTGCTCCAAGGAAACCAGTTACTTCTGCCACGGAAAACAGATGCTGGCCTGCAACGGTTTGAACCAGGCATGCAATTAACTCGGCTTATTATCCACCATAGACAGGCTGAATAATTGATCATAAAATGCAATTAGTGAAAACAAGTTCATTGTCTTTTATTGTACCTGTATGGTCTGAGACTTTAAACTACAGCGTATAAATATTATTCATAATATAGAAGAATTCTAGAAAGCTTCATTTTTTGCTCTAAGGAGTTACTCTTTCAGTGCGATCTGTAGCAAAATCAGTATCTGTGACGGTTGTGTGCTGCAAGAGATCAGAGTGGTGTTTACCTCCAGGATAAGTAATGGCCACAAGTATCAGTTCAGATGCAGGAACATCCATCCTTTCTGCCACTGCCTGCAACAGCTCCTGAGCAACCACCTCACAGTGGACCTTCGCACTAAGATACGAGTCCATCGTGATGTACACGCGGCAGAGAACTGGAAAAGAAGATGTAGCCATTTTTAATAAGTTTGAATATTACTAATTGATTTTTTTTTTTCTTTCAGTAACTCAATTCATGAGTTGAGATTAATAACACTGACTGTCCTGTAAAACTGTGGGTGTTTGATTTTGCATGAAGCTTTGCTGCCATCTGTTGGGTTTTTAGGAAACTGCTTTACTTTTATGTTATTTAGTCAGTACGTTTGTTTTGCTAGTGGTAGAGCAGATAACACTATATTCCAGGTCGAGTTCTTCGAAGCAATGCCTGTAAGTAGCAGCTTACACGTCAAAATGAGAGTTTATGTTAACATATGAGAAAAGAAGTAACTGTCTACTTAATTTGTTTACTTTAATTAGTTCTGGAAATATCTGCGGGCTTTTGCTATGTAATAAGCTAACTAGCAGGCTGCTAAGTTTTTCTTAGGCCGTTAGCATTGCAGCTCATTAAAATCCTTTGAGGTAGCATTGTTGTACTCGTACATTTTTTTACGTAGTTTTTACGTTAAAAAAGTACGTAAAAATGTATGTACGTATGCATATATAAATCTACTAATATGCATAATATAAATCTACTAATATGCATAATATAAATCTATTAAAAATTGTCCAATTACACTGAATTAAGACTGCTGGCCTGGTCTTCAAGACCAAATAAGATTTTTTGTGCTGCTACCACTGGTGATTTTTTGCGAGTTTCATTTTGTATGTGAAAGGTTTCTGCCTGTCCACCATCCTCTGCCTGTTCAGACCATCAGAACTTTCTTTAGTTATTAAAGATCTAATCTACAAATCAACACTCAAGTAAAAACCGATCCAAACGTGGAAAACATGGTAAGTCAGGAATTTCCATTTCCAAACATGTCATTCATTCCTTGGAAAGAACCCTATTGTTTCAAGCTCCCAGTTTAACGTTTCCTTTCATTCATTTTGAAAATGGCGTAATGATGGGAGGAATGTCCAAGAAACGTCACCTTGCAGGACTTACCTTCCTTGTTCTCTCTCTGTGTGATTCTGGATCTGAGCCCATTCTCTTTCAAGCTCAGTTGGTGGGAAAGAGCTCTACCCTAAAGAGCAAAATAAGGGAAAGTCCATTGATTATAACGCATGTTAAGAATTTTAGTTTGAGCAACGAAACGAAAAAATACTCGTCATTATGGCCTTCACCCCAGATATGGTGTAGGGCACACACAAAGCTCTGTTTTTCATGACAACGTTTCTCTTTTAAAGATATAAAACAGGAAATTCTCACTTACATTTGTGTGAGGCGAATCATCATCCACAGTGCTACAAAAAAAAAAAAAGAAACCGAAGAGAAAAAGTGAAATGCACCAGCCTTCATACTCATAGCCACAAAAAGACTCACTGATATACTAATGACAACTAAACCCTACAAAGTCTATAATCAGGGTAAACGGGCTAAATATATATTTATCCACTACGTCCTCTGCAGCATTCAGTCCATTACTGGCACTCGGTGTCAAGTAGAGATTAAAGTGCTTAGCAGATTTTAGACATTCCAAAGTGATCTCTTCATTTCATCATCCTATTCTCATCGGTTAGTTCTGGTCGGCATGATATATAGCCCCGTGCCTGTGTTCATCGCTCAGCTTTCACGAGTTTTGCATCCCAATAGGCGTGTTGGCACAGAACCGGTCCTGAGGGATCCCTCCTGGGGGGCTAGCGGCAGTAGCCCTGTGCTAATGAAAAACCTGATTCCCTCGGTCACATCTAAACAGACCCTGCCTTACAAAAAGAGCAGAGTCACTGTGGATATCTGTGACTTCATATGTCACATGAGGATACAGAATGCCGAGCACAAATTGGGTTTTGTTCTCACTGCGAGGCTTCCGAATCATATGCCTTGAAGTTCAATTTGCACATAAAGTCCAGATGGAAGCTGATCAGGAGGCAGGTTGGGAGGAAGGGGCCTCCGTCTATAAAAAAATAAATAAATAAAAAATGACACCTTTTCACACAGCAGCAGATTGCCACAGCAGTGGGATCAGCCAAGCTTGTCCCCATCTGAGACAGGACTGATTGTGAAAAGCCCATCAATACAAGATTATGTCAGTGGGTAACACCCACACACACAGTCTAGCAATATGATGGGGTGGGAGTTGTAGGATACATCAAAAAAGGCAGGCTGAGAATGATACCAGCACCAACGGAAAAAGACTGAACTACACGCAAGCCGATGTTCCCAGCGGAAAAACTCCAGATAGTTCAACTGCGTGATGATTTTTTTTTTTTTTTTTAATTTATCACATGCTTTGTTCGTATGGGACAGAGGGAAATGGGCGGGGCAATAAGTCTCCTTAATCAGGGTTTGTTTAGAAACCAAAATAACAATTTTTGTTCATTTTTGATTCAAGACAAACACTAAAATGATGCAACGAAACATCACTTTGGCGTTCTAGTTTTTCATGCCTTCTCAACACATCAACCATGACCACATACATTAGTTCATCAGAATCACATCCGATGCATTCACATTTTACATTTCCAACTTCTCTTAGGACATCTTTAAAGATTTTGACATGTATCAAGTTGGTGAACTAACATGAAAAAGGACTATCAAACCTTTTATTGATGTTTTGACAATATATATTATCATGTATGTGTGCACTCTTTGACATGAGCTTCTATGATGCAGGATTTTTTGGGGGGATGGGGGTGTAATACTGGATAAAAGCTAAGTTAATAACTGAAATCAACTGATTATTATCTGCACTGTTTGGTCTCCAATCGATGGCAAGTGGAACACAGCAGAATTCAAAGGCACATCACTCCTATGAGTAACATTTTATATGGCAGTGTCATAAATGAATAAATCTGGCATATTTTAATCGGCCACAGACCTGTAGCCTTTTATGTCAGACCCCTGCTAAGAGCAGCGTCTGTTCCTGTTAGTCTGCCATGATTAAAGTTTTAAGCAGTCCTTCAGGCTGACCTTTCCTGTCCAACAGCAAGATGTCTGACTCTCACACTGGACTCTGTAGTTGTTTGCTGGAGTTCCACAACACATCTTCTTTTCTTCAACATTCTCTGTTTTGAGGCCTGAGGGACTCTCACTGCGCTAAAGAGAAACGTTCTGATGTGATTGGACACTTGCGAACACTATTTTCTTTCTTCTTGAGAAAGAAAATGCTGTAAGTTACGTGCCTTGAACAGTACTTTCACCTCTCAAAAGTTGTGAGGTCAAACAACTTGTGTGTTTGAGCCATATTTGTTTTTTTGTGTTTTTTTGGCAGTGATGTGGAGATATGATGTATGCATTGCATTATTTCTGCTGCCTATTTATAGCAATACTTTTCTCTTATGTGATGTGAGAACCACTTCTAGCAGCTTGTCGTTATTGCTTAAAACCAGAATTCCCTCTCTTTCTTACATTCCAGATAAAGAGCAAAATGACCTTTAAATCTCCGAGAATAAAACCGCCGAGCACAGAAATTACTTTACAATTCCTGAATGGAGTCATTGATGAAAAGCTAAAAAGGGAGGCCTGGAGAGAAGAACTCTGTCTTTGTGTTCAAAAGTTCCTCTTAGACCACCAACGTGTCATTCCTACTGGATGTTGTACAGATGAAAATAAAAAATTTAAAAAAATCCAGATACAGTTACTTACTGTCTGCGTCTTAGGTGGTAAAATTTCTGCAACTCTATCACGTCCTTCTCCAGGGCTGGGTGCTCATAAAGATCATCGAACACGCAACGGTACAAACTCTGGAAGCAAAGCTGTCCGTCATCATTCCACATCTCATCTCACGTTTCACTCATTTCCACAGATATTTCCTACCTTGAGGAAGATTTTGACATGTTCGTCCTCTCTCAGGAACTCCTTGCAGAGAGACATCCAGTGCCACACCAGGTGCAGGACTTTCTGTTTCCTCTCCAGAGCCTCTTTCAGGTCCTCCTTAATTTTGTGCCACTTGTTGCAATAGGTGCATACTGGTTAAGGATCAGATTTCCGTACATTCAATGAGACGATTCAATGGTGAGTGGAAGCTGAAGCTCTAATGCTTTTCTTTAACACCCATTTTTCTGTCTGTAAATTACATTTATGTGTGTTATTAGGAATAAATGATTGCAATGCTTCTGCAGAAATGCCTCCAGGCAAGGATATTGTCCCAGAAGAGCTTGGCATAAATCGCTGGTTGACATGAACACTGGGTATGTGAGTAGAAAGTCATCCAGAAGCATATCTGCAAAGACACATACATATTGATAAAGGTCAAAAATGTGTATGTTTCAGTAGCAAATGTTCAGAGAGAATTTCCACTTTGAAAAAAGGTATGCTATTACAGGAAAACAGGCTTAAGCGCTGCAGGAACACAGCCTCATTAATGCAGCAGTACACTGAAGGGCAGGAACACTACCGACCCCGACAGCTGCATGATTAATATCTTCTGAACTGCTTATATTGCTAGGCTGCACTTATGATTCATATGGCCTCACTTTTTTTTTTTTTTTTCCCCCCATGTTCCACTTTAATACCACAAGGAGAGCTCGTTCTTTACTGCCAAAAATCATTTGGAGATCGCTAAGCACAGGAAAATATGAAAAAAAAAAAAAAAAAAAAAACTTCTTTAGAGCAAGATGATTTGCAGTCAGTCTGAAGGAAATAAAAGTAAACATAAATCTTCAAGCATATTTTACTCTGGCATGGTCAAAGAAGCCTTTACAGACATTATCTTCAGACTCTCATAATAGTTTCTGCCATCTGCGTCAGTGGAGGTAAGCTAACAACATGACGGTGTCGGATGATGTTTCTCTAGCTTTTTATTTTTGCACTTGAAAAGAAACAATCTGATGTAAATCAGATCGGTCATCCAGATTTCCTGCCCATTTATCTGTATACGATTCATTCCAAGTCAAGCTAATTGTTCTGCTGCTCAGTTTCTGTATAATTAGTGCAAAGTCAATACAGTGAACTGAGTTGAACTGAATTAAAGGGAAAATACAGATCTTTAACACTTCAATGTTTTCTTGCGATGTTAAAACTGCAATCACAGATCAACTTCTTATGTAATTTGCTAGAAAGATTGCTCTTCTAAATATTCTTATATTGATGTGTAATTTCTCAACCTGGTACCTGTTGTTTTTTTGTACAAAAAGTCAAAAAAATACGGCCAGTTATTCATTCAATAACATTTTATTTCATAAATGGATCAGTAGGATCAGTCTTCTGCGTACAGGCCTTAGACCAAGAATTGTAAATTACTTCCTTTAATTTCAACGCAGCTTCCAGAGTCTTTTGTGAGCGTTCCGGTCCAGCAGACTCACCGACATCATTATGTTAATCCGTTCAGAGCAGCTGTGCATACATAACTCCCCGCTTATGAGGGGGTTACTCCCTCGCATGCATGCAGCAGTCATAAACAACACAGTGACACAGCTTTAACAGAAAGTCTGAAAGCAACAGCAGGGAACTAGAAAGTAACTCTAAGCTGTAGCACTTTTACTCACGTAGAATCCTCTGTAATGTCTAGCTGGTGTATTTAGGACCGTTTCTGGTATATTTACTAACCTCCTGAAGACCAGTATGTCTTATGGAGACCCATTTTTCTTTAGAGACTAATGTCTAAAGTAGTTATAATGGCGTTCGCCCTTGTTTAGGCTCAGGGGTTATGTTTAGAGGTAAACTGTGTATTAGGATTTTGAATATACTAATCGTGACTAGGGATAATGTCTTGGTTAGGCATAAATCCAGTTACTGAAAGGAATGAAAGCCAAAACAAAGTCCCAATATGGATAGAAATACAAGTACTGAATTGAATGTACTTTATTAATCCTAGAGGGAAATTCACATTTCACCAAAACCTGTCCAAATAACAACATACAAACATAACATGGGAGAGAGGTGCCTGAGCCTGCAGCCCTTTAAAAACAGGAATCAAAGCATAAAGCTTTTTTTTTTTTTTGCCAAAATCTGACAAAGAACTTGTCAGAAACACTTGTGCTGCAAAATGGCGAAATCTACTTTGCTACCTCAAGGTGATAAGGTGATGTATAACATTCTGGTGAGGTTTTCAGCCTACAGATGCAGTTTACCTTTTTTTCAGCAGCAATGTTTCTTTTATTTCATTTTCTGATACCGTGGAGAGATTAGATGTTAGAGAGTTTTGGTGAGTCGTGTACACACTGCTTCTATATATATATAT